CAGCCATGGATGTCGATATTTTTGGGGCACAACGATGTGCAGCTGTGCCGTGTGCGTGTGCGACCGCGTGCCCGATAGGCGACGAGATGTGACGCGAGACGACCGCCCCGGCGACGATTATTCCGTTTCAACACGTAGAGAGAAGCGTGGCCAGTACGGGCAGAGAAGGAGAGAAGGAGGGAGAGAGAGAAAGGAAGAGAGAGACACACGCGTACACACACGGACAACACGATTGCGATCATTGCGATCGGTCTTGAACGAGAAGCGAGAAGCGAGAAGTGGATGCCTACATACGATAAGGTCCGTTTGTTGTGTTGGTTCGTCATACGTCGCGTGGAACGCTCTTCTTCTACTAGGGTCGCCGTAGTTCGATTGTACGTGTAAAGTTGATCGCCGGCCCATAGGTAACGATGGAGCTCAACGCTGGTGCGGGAACGTCCGTCGGGGCCGTGGCCTGTCCCGTGTGTACCCTGTATTTGCGCGAGGGCATCAGTCTGCAGAAGCATTTGGATACTCATCCCAAGGAACAGGTTATAGATGCTCTCATCAAAGCCAGTACCCCCTCGTTACAGACACAACAGCAACAGCAGCACCAGCAGCAGCATGCTGCTTTATCGGCATCAACAGCAACATCATTACCATTATCACTGCAGGCACAAGCTGCGCTTCAGACTCCTACCTCCATCCAAGCGCCCCATACGTCCTCCCAAGTCTCGCAGAACGCGCATATTTCTACTCACTCTCCGTATCCCGTAGGACCCATTTTTGAATGTCCGCCCATAAGTACCATGATGCCACCGCAGTTCACCTCATTCAGCTATCAGCAATTCGTGAACAATGGGACCATGATGATACCGCAGTACGCGATGGCGCCGCAAGCCAATCAGATGATGCAGATGCTGTATAATCCATACGGTATGTACCAACAGCAAATACCCACCGTCCAAATGATCTCACCAGTTGCAGCTGTTCCTGGCGCAACGACGAGGATTCGGCCAGTGGTTACTATAGCTGGTGAGAGCAACGTCAGAACACTGACGGTTCCTGTAAATAGTCCCGAGCCGAAACAGATTCTACCTGAGATTTTGCCGGAGACGGAGCCCGAATCAGGACAAGTTATTCCGGATGTAAGCCTCTCGGCATCGCCCGTGCTTCACAACGAGGATACATCCATTAGAGCGAGGGAAGAGAGCGACAACAGCGCGCTGTCAATCGATCACCGGGGACAGCAAGCACAGAGTTCTACATCAGCCGACGAGAGCACCGTGCACGAATACAATGCTATTTCTAGATCTATTACAATCTCTTGCGCTATTGATAACACCGATGAGAAAGTGGAAAGTGTATTGCCAGACATGGTGGACGATGAGCCATCAAATAATATTTCGACTACAGACTTACAGTGTAAATCTGCAACATACGAGCAACCAGAAACACAACAGTTTACACAGCAGGTCATCGAAGAGGGATACGTGAATGTATCCGATAGAATGACACCCACAATTGACATTGAGTCCGTGGTTTGCGAACATGACTCGGAAATGATATGTGACGATAGACCCGCAAGTCGCAGCAGCAACGTGAACGATAATGTTGAATCACCGCGGGATCTAGTAGCAATAGATACATTGAAAGACTCTGTTCAATCCGAGTTTAATTCAACAGAAAAATTAGAGAATTTGATAACCATAATGGAAACGGAGCTCAATAATGCTTCTCTTCAGAAAGAAAGTGATATACAAAACGATCAGGAAAAATTGGCGGACGTAAAAGAAAAAACCACTGTAGATAGAGAGGAGAGCGTGATTTACGATACAGTAGTCATTTCGGATTCCCACGAGAAGGATCATCACATATTGTCCGACGTGCACGAAGGGAACAAGTGGGACTCGAGCAATTCCTTGACTAACGAACTGAGATTGTTAGAAAAAACTTGTTCGTCACATACAATAGACTGCTCGAAAATGAATGAAGCGCTGGACAGACTGCAAAGAACTTTTCATTCTAATAATTATAAATATAGTTTTTCAGCTCCTGCGTCTCCAATCGCGAGAAGGAAGAGTCGCAAGGTCGTCCGTCGTTATAGCTCGCGATCGGAGCATGGATCGTGCGAAAATCTCAGTGTGTATCGTCTCCGTGCTGATTTCGACGACACCGCGGCCATGCACGACGACGACGACGACGATGACGACGACGAGGACGACGAGGATGTTGACGAGGACGAGAAGATTGACGAGGAGGACAATTTTGACGAGGCGGACATGGAGATCGAAGAGATTCCCAGTCCTCACACGCCTTTCGCGGATTGTGGCGTGAGATCGCACACCCCGTTGTCCACGATCAGTGGCATTTCCGTGTTAAGAGTTAGAAAGGATCTCAGCAAGCCATGCTCACCCACGTCCATGCATTCGTTTCATCACGTGGACAGCGATAGCGCAACTCACGACGAGGATAGTAATGGTGTAGGTAACGCCGCGGAGAAAGATCCGATCGACTGTTCACAGGTAGACGAGGAGAAAATTAAGACTGATAATCAGCGTCAGGAGACGCAGGTGGCGGTGTGCGAAAGTGTCGCAAAGATTCAAGAATCGAGCAGCAGTTACGCGTACCATCAATCAGTGATAACCGAACACATTAGTTCATTTCCCGTGATACATTCACAGTCATCCGTCTTGATGCACGAGTCATATTCCATTACGACCAGCACCAAGACTCAAAACCTCTTGAATCTCTCCGAATCAATAAATCCCACAACCAGTACCGAATCCAGAAGCTTTCACTCCGCCAAATCATTGATGCCGAAGCAATCGATGGAACTGCTCAATATAAATGAAGATGCTCACGCCGGGCCAATGAATGTCTTTGAATTCGACGGACTCCAAATATTAGTTCCTAGTACATTTATAAGTGACTCGTCCCAGAAAGCGGTGAGTGCGACCAGCCAGCAATCTATGGCAAGTAGCGAGGGTGCAATAGGTATCGACGAGGAGGTGAAGAGTATTAATATGCGTGCCGATGAGACTATGCCGCCTAGGGGCGAATTATCAGAACAAGAGAGTAATGGATGCACAGAGCAGTCTGCATGGCAGGTTTGTAACTTATATTATTCTTGATGTTTTTATGTACAGTACAGATTCTTTGTATGTACAGTTTTTTTATATTTGCATATTATTATTTATTCGGCATTTGCAATTTATATTTGTAAAGATGTGGCTATGTAATATTTTGACTCATAACTGCAGATTTTTTTAATGTACATGTAATAAAAAATACACAACACATAAAAGGAATTTTTTTATTTATATTTATTTTGTGTGATGAATATTATGATTAAAATATTTATTATTATTAAATTAATTCTTCTACAGTTATTAAAATATGCTGAGTTATGTCTACATACAATACAATACCAATTATTAAAAGGAACAATACTATTATGTATTTTATTGCATTATTCTTTTAAAATTATTGTGAAATTGTTATGAAGTTATTGATATTCTAATTGTTATCGTTTTATCGATATTATCATAAAATTGTCGCATTTAAATATTTTGTTATTTGTTTCTATTATGTAATATAATATAGAATTGTATAACTGAAAATTAATAAAATTATGTTACAGTACTGTTACATGATAATATATATATATATAAATATATATATATAAATTACATAAAGATAAATGTAGCTAAGTTGAAAGTTGTGCAAGTTAAATAGTGATAAATCTAGTAATACAGACAAATGTAAAATCTTTTGTTATCAACCGAAAAAATCCAAAAAACAGGGCGAATGAGAGTCAGCGTTGTGTGTGGTAATTAATACGTAATCTTAAATCTTGAATCCAGAAAATAGAATCTTTATTCCACAAAATATAAAAATACGTTTCAGTCATGTTTCGTTCCAGCTGCAATTAACATGCGTTTTTTAATTTGATACTCTTTAGTGAATAGTATTTGTAATTGGTTGATCCAATGTCGAGATGAATTCCTTCTATGTCTTGGGACATGAAGGGGTTGAATTTGTATTGCTGAGGATGTTTCAAAATGAACTGAAACGTACTTTTATATTTTGTGGAATAAAGATTCTATTTTCTGGATTGAAGATATAAGATTGCGTATTAATTACCACACTGACTCTCATTCGCCCTGTTTTTTTGGATTTTTGGTTGAATTAGAGTCCGTGAGAAGATTATATATATATATATTTCCATTATTTTTTAATTATGAATGATAACAAAAGAATAGTAATAATGTAATCTTCTCACGGACTCTAATTAATATGTATATATTGATTATTTACGTAATTAATTATGTAAAATTCGTATGTCTAAAACGCATTTTTACTGTATAGTTGTACATGGGTCAAGAATCTTCGCGTATGTCCACCTCTTACGATCTGTTGGCTCGAGAAAGCTGGGAAGAATCGGAAGGCTCTGATAACGAAATCAGCGGGCCATTGTTGGACAGTAGATCGTTGGCCACACACTTTACTTCGAGTTTGTTTCTGGATCGGGATCGGAAGACACCGACCAAACGAACATTCAAGTGTTCCCACTGTAGCGAAGTATTTGATTGTCCGAAGGAACGTAGAGTTCATAGCACAACGGTGCATAAGGATGCAATGCCCAGTAGTAGCAGAGATCAGTTGGATCAGCCAGAAGTGAAGGACATCAAGTTGCTGGATAGTCGCATGAATATGTTCGACGATATATTCATGCCGAGTATACATATGCAACAGCACATGTATCATCATCAGCAACCGATGTTACACCAGCTGCAGCCACCGTCACAGCCTGGAGCAGACGGTTTGACGAAGGCCGAGGCCGACCAGAAGATCGGCGAGAATCTAGTGATACCGTCGAACATTGAGGTGGTCTGCACGATATGCAATCAGCGATTCAATAGCGAGAAGTCTTTGCAGGCGCATCACCGACGCATGCATATCGCCGACGTGAACAAACGCATACGCGAGACCGCCAAGTGCCAGATATGTAACGAGGAATTTCCATCAGTGTTCCTGTTCAACGCTCACTTGAAGATACATCCGTTAGAGTGCGGACAGTGCGGCAAGTATTTTTATCGCAAGCAGAATTTCAAGCTTCACATGAAACGTCACCTGGGCATCAAACCGTTCCCGTGTACCGTGTGCGACAAGGCGTTCCTCACCAAGCAAAAGCTAGAGGAGCACACCAATGGCCACACCGGCAACGCGCCCGTCAGGTGTAGTCTATGCAATGAAACTTTCCGCAGATATTCGAATTTGACCCAGCACAAAAACAGGCACCACCTCAACATCAAGAAGAAGCTCAAAGATTATATATGCCACTGCGGCGAAGTGTTCCACACGAAGAAGAAGCTTGCCTGGCACAAGGAGACGCATGATGAGAAGCCCAAGGCGTGTACGTATTGCAATGAGCGATTTATCCACATGGCCAGCCTGACGCGTCATATGCGTCGCGCCCACAATCGTCGATTCGTTCCCGACGCTCAGCGCGAAAGCGAGAACGTCGAGTGCCCGATCTGTAAGTGTATCTACCTGCGATCGTCGCTGGCGGTACATATGCGTGTGCACAACGGCGAGCGGCCGTACGAATGTCAGGTCTGCTCCAAGGCGTTCAGCACCAAGTGGAATCTACAGCTACACAAGTGGACGCACGCGGCGCGCAGCACCAAGCCGTTCAAATGTAACCAATGCAGCGCGGCGTTCTACCGTCATAGCGACTACACGGCGCACATGAATTCCCATCGGAACGTGCGGCCGTACACGTGCAACTACTGCGGCGCGCAGTTCATCCGCAAGTACAACTGTCTACGACACGTGAAGGAGCACGAGGAGAACAAAGCGTACACGTGCGACGTGTGCAACAAGACCTTCCACCGCTCGTACTATCTCAAAGAGCATTTGCGGGTGCACTCGGGCGCGCGACCGTACACGTGTCACATCTGCGGCAAGTCCAGCGGCACCAAATCCAATCACAACAAGCACGTGCGAATTCATCATGCGCGCGAGCCTGTAAATACCGAGAATTGAATAAGAATCCCCAGATCATCTATCGTTCTGCCACGTTCATTTGGCGCTCTCATTGTTGCAGTCGGGACGAGTTGAACGACTCAGCGCGATCGCTCGCGCTGTACTTATAGCGAGATTACAGCGTACAGTTCTCAGGAAACTGGAACTATACTTTTACATTTTGATCGGGTATTGATGGAATATATGGGTATTGACGAGTTTTCCCTAGGACCACAATGTAAGAATACAAGGTGCTTTTACTCACATTTCTACTAGAAAATTGCGATCAAACTGAGGAAGTTAAGACACATAAAATGGCATATTGATCTTAGTACCTCACCTACGAAATAAAGCTTTCTGTGTGAGGTATATTTACTAATACTAATACTGCTATTTAGTATTATAGTAGTTTGACCATATGCTACCTTGTGTTTAAATGGATAACATCCTCAGGAAAATCACAGTTATTTTATTTTTTTTTTACGTGAGTAAAAATACCTGCTCTTATATATACCCATGCTTCACGCTCCGTGGACGCTTTTCCACGTGCCTGTGGTATGTTAGAAGCTGAACTCGTCGAAGTTGTAACAACGGTGTTAATCCTAGTTTTGAACCGGTTTTCGAACTGGCTTGGTTCAACTTGAATTCTACGTGGGACAGTTACGCTAACTGGTTAGCAATTCGCTGTCCTCTTCTAAATTATATAGCTACAATTACCGTCGGTACTACGAAATTTAGTTAAGATTATTTAGCGCCGATCGACGTACAGATAACGACAATCGACGTTTCCATTGTACTCGATCGGAGAGACACGTATGCGTGTTCACAGAGGAAAATATTTAACGAATATGTACGGCTGTACGCGTATACGCGCAGATGACAATGAAAACAATTAAGTCGTCGTAACGGTATTCGAGTGCTGAGTCTAAAGCACTGGGTCTACTGTTAAAGAGTTTTTATTCGATTTCGTATATACGAGTATACACTATGTTATACACACGCCGTACATTTTTAATATTATACTATAAAGGTACATGAATTTTTTATATCCGAAAGTGTCTTATGGTAACACTTTAAGCATTGCCATACGTAGAATAATTCGGAGACATTAACTTTGTCGTCCGTGTCGTTTAATTCTATACAAGTAAATCTTTATCTTATCTAAAGTTTTCTTTTTTCCTTTTTTTGAAATTGCTATCAAGTAGCTGTTGCATCATTATTAGATTTTTTGTTAATGAATATGAAGTATTTTTTTTATTTCTAAGAAATTCATTATCATACCGTCTTTTGTATGCATATGATGTTTAAACTATGTTAAAATGTGATTTAGTTTAATTTAACGTAAAGCACTTAAAAAGGAAGAAAAAAAAGAAATCCATAGATATCCAAGCGTTTAAAATCAAGGTTGGTAAAAAACATGTTTTTTTTATAATACTGTTTAAAGCATATTTGAAGTATTAAAAACATATTTAAGAAGAAACAATGTTTTATTCTTAAAAAAAAAAAACATTAGTCTTTGCCAACCCTGTTTAAGATTATTGCAAGTGTGTGCAAGCATTTTGAAGACTTCTTTGTTTTATAACAATTTCGATATTTTTCAAAAAGTATGATGTGTACATATACATTAATTATATTATCCCAACAATGTATTCCAATACATTGTCGGGGTAATTATATTGCAACACATTGTAATTATTTATATTTATTTATTACATTGAAAAGAAATAAAAACTAAACAAACATTTCATATCACAATTTATATAAGGTAAATGTCCCAGTAGACCGGATGTTTAAACGTAGGTTGTCATAAATAATATAATTTATAATATTAGAAAAATTTTTAATATAAATACTTGTATTCATTTGAAAACTCAAGATTCTTTTAAACAAGGAAAAATTATTTGAACCCACTTGTAACAATTATTAATTAAAATATTTAAATAAGTAATAGAATGCATCAATGTACCAGTGGCCGGACATTCAGACGTAATTGTCCCAATGTCCGATCACAATTAGAAAATTAGTATGCCGATGGGAAATATTAATATAAATGGATCTTTAATGACAATTCAAATTAATCTTTAAGGTAAAAAAGCATTTGAAACTAATATATATAATTTACACAAAATTTTATTTATTTAAATTAATATTAATTTTAAACACGTTTTTTAAAACGTAATATTATAATTTAATTGTAATTTTTAAATGCAAATAAATTATAATACAGTAATAAAAAAGCATTTGAAATTAATAATAATAAATTTTGTGTAAGTCCGGATATAGGTATTGTACATATTCGGTTACTTTATCTTACTAACGGGACGTTTACCTTATTAAAATTTTTTTAATTTTAAACTTCATTCTAAACTGAGTATTACGTATTTATTTGTTTTTGTTTTGTTCTTTCTTTTTTTTTACTCCGCAAAGATATCTAAGGGTGAAAGTTGTTATCTATGATATATTCGTATTATCAAACAACTTGATTATACGGGGTTGGGATTTTTATTACGTTATGTGCTATGTTTTAAACATTTGCGTATTAGGTAGGTCCAGTGACTTCAGACTACAATTACCTAAGCTAATAAAAATTTTTAATGAAGATTAACTATCATAATATATGTCACAAAGATTCTCGAATAGTTCTTGCGGAGGAAAATTTACTACGCAATGAAAGAACACAATTTGCCAACTAATAGTAATTAATTATTATATACAGATAATTAATCCAATTAATATTTACAAAGGTACACAGCACTTTTACGTGTCAATGGTTGTAAAGAATTTTCATTTTTACAATATCTATTTTACACGAGAAGCATACATATTACAGGTTTCTGTGCATCGTTTGCCCAATATGAGCCCAATATAAGCATGATACGACTCGTATTGAATTGCGATCAATTTTCTATGCAAGGGCCTATAAATTAATATTATAATTATCGACTATCACATAATAGTTAGAAAATCTTAGTTGTTATTCTTCTATATTTATATATTTTGCAATGTGTATAAGATCGGTATTTTATTGTTTACTATAATTTCAAGACTGATCGGTGTTGGTTCTTTGTATATTGCTCTCTAATATGAATCAAAATAGTCATGTTCCTCCATTTTAGCTTAATATCAGTCATTCATTGCGACAAATAATTCGCAATAATATTACCTATGAAAACAGAAGTAAGTAAGTCCAAAAGAATAATCATAGATTTGTACTTTCAAAATTAGTGAAAAAGTATAATATATTGATATGGAATCAAATTATATATAATTAATTTTGTTATTTAAATATAAGTTGGAATCCCATTATATGTAAAATAACAAATTTTTTGTCAGATTTGTTTTATTTAAAAATCCACAAGTTTAAACATTATGCATTTTTAAATAAAAAAGTAATTAATTTTGAAATTATATTAATTTTTTTATGGCAATGTAAAACTTTATGTTATTACTATTTCTGAAATATATCAGTTTTATAAAATTTATTTTATTAATTATGACGACATAAAAATATTAAAATCGATTATTTTGGATTTACTCTCCTCTGATATTCACTCTACTTTTTAAATGCACACCGCATATGCCAAACCACATGTCGTTTGCAAAATCTGACCAGTGTCTTATAATGTAGATATATGACAGTGTCAAGTTACGTAGATATATATACTTGTGAAGAAGTAGAAAAACACTTTTAAAATTGGATGGCTGTTTGTTATTTTGATCTAAGGGAGCAATATTGAAGAAGATAAAACTAATTGAAATGCGTTAACTACATTTATCGATTGTTTGATTGATTTTTGCAAATCAAATCGTCTGCTAAAACGAGTTTCAATTATTATTAATTTTAAAAGAAGTGACCAATCAGGAATGTAGTAAAGTATTAAGAAAACGTTATGTGAAAATTTATGAATATTTCGATAACGAAATTTAAATTTAGCGACATTAATGCGGCAAATTGTGCAAAAAATGTTAGAATGTATTACATATACATGTATTATGTATTATATATGATGGAGTCTATTTAAAGAATATTAACCCTTTGTACTCGAAGTATTTGTTATCCGACAGTATCAGGGATATTTCGTGTAGTGTGAGTGTGCAAGTAATTTTACCTTATGTTACTTCTAAAACACTGCTCAGCTAAGATTATAACTCGTTGGCAATTAATGTAAGAAGAATAACCAGAGGAAAATATCACTTCAATATATTAAATTTTGACAGAAGATATTCAATTAACTCTAGAAAATATACATTGTGCATTAATAAAAACAATCTCAAGTTGAAAACAATCGCAGATATGAACGTGATAAAATAAAAAAGGATGCTGTGTACGTGTGTGTATGTATATATAAAAAATATATATATATTGTGAATACGTGAATCATTAAAATAGATATAGTGTTAAAATGTACTCGAGCAGCGTGGAAGTGAAAGTGAAATGTGGTTGATAAAAAAATATGATTCAGTTTTCGTCACAAGGTTCTACTCAGAAATGGAATTGTTCATCACGATTAAGAGATAGAACGAATTCGTTATTGCGTGTATAACTTTGTATGGGAAGATTTGTAACTTGTAAATGTGACGTTTTACAACTCTAATCTATAACTTGATAAGGATAAACCAGAAAGTCAGAATATCTGTGAGGAGTAAATTTAATTCTTTGCAATAATATATCGTACTGGTGTCGTGACTAGGCGTGAATATTTCAGAGATAGATTCTTTTGACATTGACATATCGAATTTCTTTAGAAGGAATATTCAACTGATTTTAACAATTGATACAATAAAAAATAAAAGAATTCAGAAAAACTATAGTTTTTCTCACATGATGATTTATTAAATTTGAATTAGTTTAACAATATTCTTTTTCTAAAATTTAAAGAATAGTAAATCAACATATCTAATGTTGTATCTAGAAGAATAAACTTTTAGATTTTTACTGAAGGAAAGTCGATGTTAATTCAGAAAAAAAATCTATCTCTAAAATATATGTCCTGTTATTCGCGCGTTTTACAACACTCAGTGTATTCTGATGTGTTTTTTGTAATACTGCAACCTTTACATATAGTATTCCTATTGCAGGCAATATTCAAGCACAAAGGGTTAAAATATTTTTCGTTATGGTCTATATATGGATATGGAAATAGAAATGCATCGGTAGCCCTCAATAATCGACTCCATCGTTCATCTGTCAAATTAGTTAAATTTAATATATCGTGCGTGAATCTTTAATACATACATAAGCAGCGATTGCATGTTTAGTTTCCTCTGTCGTCTTCATTAAGTTTACTCGTTTTAAAAATGATTTGATATGCGATGGGTATTTGGATAATTTGGGAGCCCACCTGCAACCAACATCGACGTCCAAATGTGCAATTGTTTAGTTAAACTATTCATATTATATCTATTCATAACAAACATTGTTGTAAATAATGTAAATATGTACATCAGTTCTATTTTATAATAGGGCCAATGAATTGATTTGGCAATTGAGTATCATACGAAACTTGATCTATGCTATAAGCAGATTAAAAAATAGGATAACATTATCATTAAAAAGGAAAAAAAAACAATAAATCAACATATGTATACCTTAATAAAATTTATGTATTGAGGTACGTTTTTAAATAAGTTCATTTTTTCTCTTTTTTTTGGTTTACACCAATACCCTGCGCTTGCAACATTAAATATAAATTGCAAACTGAAGTAATAAGACCATCATATAAATGAAAAACCTATTTTAAGAAAATACATTTAAAGATTTATTTGTAACAACACCAAAAGTGTGTTAATTGAAAATAATTTTAAATAAATTTTTCTCAGAATGGAATATTTGTAAGATAATGCTTCTAATTATAATTTATGTTATATATACAATTTACTAAAATTAAGCAAAAATAATTTATTATATTTATTCCTGCATTATATGTGTGATTTAAAGTAAAAAAAAGACGATTAAAGCATTAATAAAAGATATTAATTGTGAAAAGAAATTTAATACTTTTTAATCATTTTTTTGACTAAGATCAATGAGAAATTTAATTATGTAGATCAAATATCTTTAATTAATTTCTTACATATAATAAACAATTTTTTTTTAAGTGTATCAAAAACTATCTGAATGCAATAATATTATTAACTATATGAATGCAATAAACCCGTTTAGAAGAAATATAAAATTTTGAAAAAAATATTGACAATATTCGTTTTAATTAGTATTAAAATTAGCTGTTCTGTGTTTTTTAAATCATCTATCACTTAAATTGAAACTCCAGAAATATTTTAAAATCGTACGAAGATTTCTGTAAATTCCCTATTCTCTGGCTAATTTATTCGTGATATAATAATAAAGGAATTATACTCAACAACTTTCTAATAGGAAAACTATTTTTCTATTGATTCTAAATGGGATTGAATTAAATTCTTTTTTTTATTATTATACGGTATTTTTAAAAGCGTTTTAAAAATATTGCATGCTGTATAAAGCATTTTTAAATGATTTATTTTGTATATATTTATTATTTATTTATATACATAATTTTATATGGATAAACCCAGATAACCAGCCGTGCAAATGTCACAGCTGAACAAGTTGTGATTTTTATAGTTTAAATATTGTACAGATATTGTGCAATTCAATGTCGTCAGTTTTTGTTACAACTTCAAATTATATTACAGTGCTAGTATTAAAACAAAACTGCGTGCTATTATAACTTTAAAAACGCACGGTGCTGTTACGCGTATCGGGTTTTGTGCCGAATTTTTGTGCCCGTTCCATTCTCCCACGTAGATTTCTCCCGTATACGATTACATTGTTAGCATTAAAACAAAACTGCGTGCTATAATTTTGGACGGTGCTTTTACGCGTGACTAGTTTCGTGCAGAAATATTCAATATGTCCAATTTTCAAGTAGTGCACAATATCGCCATTAGAGGGACACAATAAAGTTCAATTACTCGTGTTTAAAAAAACCACATCGAACGGAATAAAAGGTGCAGTATAATTAGAAATTCTCAGCGAAAAATTTTTATCCTTTTCTTTATAAAATAGAGTGGATTAGGCTTATTGAGGAAACCATTTTAAAAAAAACCGCGCCAAGCTATATCTACCTCAAGGTGATGAGGAAACGATAGCATTTTCTTAGTACTAAAAATATTTTTATTTTCAGAAGAATATGAGAGTGTCTGCATTGCACATCTCAACGCTTTCTGTCGTTTGACTTTTTGTTACACCCAGAGAAAAAGTTTCTAAAATGCTGGAGGTCGATTGTGTATCTCGAAACCTAGTGTAAATGATAAAAGTGAGCTCTCACTTGATTGGATAGTTTTCATCATAGTGGAAATGCGACATTCCTCAATCCCTTGCTCTCTCTCTCCATTCCGCCGCTAAATTAGGACTATGTTCCAAAACTTCCTCTCCGAGGAAAATTTTACTCGAAATATATAGTACACGAGACGTATACTATAGCATACAAAGTAAAATTTTCCTCGGAGAGGAAGTTTTGGAACGTAACCTAAGAAGATTGAAGAGAGAACAAAAAGTGAGGAAGGGATTAAAAATGGCGGATGCGAATACCTATATTATTGTGCTCTAGTTTCATGTGACTTTACGAATTTCAACACAATAGTCGCGTTCAGCAGACTCAACTGTCGTGGAGCGCACTGTTCTGTGAGCGCTCGCTGCTATTGGATGATCTAGAAGAATACACCAATAGGAGCAAGTGCTCACAGATTTGCTCCACACAGTTGAGTCTGCTGAACGCGACCATTGTGTTGAAATTCCCTGGTAGCAAGCTGACGTCAAAATGACGTCATTTGACGTCAAAAAGACGTAGCTTGCTACCTGGGTTCGTAAAGTCACATGAAACTAAAACACTATAATATAGGTATTCGCATCTGCCATTTTTAGTCCCTTCTCCACTTTTTGTCTCATATGAATGATAGGCCGGAATCAGACTACGCATTGAAGAATGAGATTGAAGATTGATAAAGATTGAAGTTTGACCAATCAGAACAAAAGGAACCAAAACTTCTTTGACCTTATTGATGAAATTTCAATCTATAAGCGGGGAGTACAGACTCTTGCATAACGCATAAAGGTGCTATTACATGGAAGCGTCGAGCGTCGAGCATCTGCGCAGAAAATTATTGCGCAGAAGTTTGAATTTCCAGACTCCTGTGCAATAATCTTCTGAACAGCTTCTTGACGCAAAATGGTAAATTATGAAAGGTTATGTTCTGATATACACTACTATCCTAACATATAATGCTGAAAATTTATATTTATTTACATTATATAGTGTAAACTACAAGATTCAATTATTAGTGTATCTCGTACATTAAATTCAATTTCAGTAAAATTATTAAACATTTTACTGCGCATGCTCTGACCGCTCTGACGCTTGACGCTTGGCGCTGCCATGTAAAGGCACCTTAAGGCTGGATTTTCATTTGACGCTAGACGCTCATTTTCAGCGTCAAAACAGGTCACGTGATCAAAATTGACGAATACCAAGCGTCAATTTTGATCATGTGACCTGTTTTGACGCTGAAAATAAGCGTCTAGCGTCAGATGAAAATCCAGCTTGACACATGAGGCATAAGAAATTGAACCAACCAGAGTTCTCTATTACATGGAAGGGAAAGAAACGGAGAACTTCGATTGGTACATATTCTTATGCATTACGTGTTATGAGTTATGCAAGAGTCTGTGCTCCCCGCTTTAATCTTTAATTTCAATCTTCAATGCATAGTCTGATTCTGGCCTAAAGTCTTGTGTCCACGATGCTAGAAATCGGTCCGAGACCTCGGATGAAGAAAGAATTGACCAATCGCAATGGTCATGTGATCAAATTGTTCAAATGTGATTTGTTAATTTTTTCTCTGTTTGAGATCTTGGACCGATTTCTAGGGGGTGATCCCGATTGATCACGGCTCGATTGGACACCACCAATCACAGCGACCGGTGCTTAGGAGCTTTGTAGTCTCAAGCGCTGTGAGTGGTTCGTGTCCAATTGAGCCGTGTCCAACTGGATGCCCGATTTCTAGTATCGTGGACATTGGGCTTAAAACTTTCTCTCCGAGAAAGATTTTACTTTACGCTATAGTATACGTTACGTGTACTATATATTTCGAGTAAAATTTTGGGAGGATCTCATTTGCCTACAGTTCTGATTTTACACACCACTCATATCAACTGATGCCTAGTAATTTTTTACTGTTTTGCCAATGAGATAATTTTATTTTTAAATTGGCCAATCAGCGATACATGTGTGCAATATGCGATGTGTGCAATCGGAGCCCTCCCAAAATTTTCCTCGTAGGCCGGTATTCATAGTCGGTTCTTATTTCAAGACCGTCTTAAGTAATGTCTTAAGACGCTAATGCAGCCCTCTGATTGGTTCGTGACTTCTTAAGACT